GAAAAAATAGTTAGAGTAAATTTTTACCCTAATCCCATCTAGTTTACGAAGCACCTAATTAAAAATTTCAAAATTTTATTTGTTACTTTTGTGAGTTAATTTGTATTTTTTTATGTTTAATTAGGATCTCTTATTTCAATTTAAAATAAAAACGTGTACTTAGAGATTTTTGCTTTTTAATCCGTCTTCTTTCATTTCATTTTCATGGACCAACAAGAAACCCCCCCCGAAATAAAATCCTGGTTACGGCCCTGGTTGTGCAGTACTCACTTTAAATTAAAATATCTTTAAAACGGTCCATTTTAGTGGTATAAAAAGTTATGCGTTTTTTATTTAAAATTGGTTACTCTATCGATTTAAGCAATAAAAAGTTAGTATTAAGAGGCCAAAAAAATGGAAAAACGCAGAAAATATAACTTGCAACTGCTGTAACCGGAAATTGAGTAGATGTATCCGGTTTTTGTGATTATTAGTTTAAAAGATATGTTCTCGCAAGTAACTATTCCAAATTTTATAATATTTGGTCAAATGGTTCCAAAGTTATTACAAAAAAAACAAATTTCCATACCCAAATTCCAAAGGCTGTAAAATTCTTATCAGTAGAGATAGGACACGAGTTTTTATAAAAATTAACATCATTTTATGGGTCATTTTTGAGGTTGAAATATTGCTTCATATTTATGGATAACCTAGTATATCTTACGTTTTCTGAATTACACTTGAAAAAGGTGTAGTTTCTACTTTAATTCTGTGACATTTTTTAGCTACAACTTACATTGTAAAGGCACAAAAATGAGCAAAAGGCCGGCTCCAGCAAGCGCAGCGGGATTGACAGTGGTGTAGAGTAGATAAATGACAACGAGAGCTTCAAGTGGTGCAATCACCAAATGGTGTATGTGCATGATCAAGAAATCAAACCGATTCACATCATTGGACATTAAATTAACAGTTTGACCGATCGTTGTATCAATTAAACTGCTTTTGCTCAGTCTTAGAGCCTTGCGGTAGAGCAAGGAACAACAAGCGACTCGTATTTTCATCCCAAGTTGTTGCAAACCAAAAAAATACGAATGCATGATCATTATATTTACGAATGATATTCCTATGATGCCAGTGGCGTACAAATAGGCCATTGGTTTGGTTATTTCGGCCTGGTTTGGGTCGTAATAGGCTAGGAGGCCTCCTATTAACATCGGTTGGGCCATTCTGAACAAAAACAACATTATTCACAATGTTTCAAATGGGAAAATGATCATACTTTACGATTAGTTCTTGGACGAGTAAAACAATTCCATAGAGTACGATTTCAAGACCGTAGACTTTCATTAACACTCGCCACAAGGACGGGTTTCTGTGATTGTTTTGCTCTTTGAGCCAAGTTTTTTCGAGTTTGTCCCCTAAAAGGTTGGATTTGTGGGCTTTTAAAGTGCCGTATAAGTCGTCCTCGGTGAGGTCTTTTTTGAAACCTTTGACGAATAATGGCAGTGCCCAGCTTGAAGTAAAATTGTTACTAATAAAAAACAAAAATTGGAAAATTACCAGAAGAATAATTTTGATATTATGTTGGCTTTTTTGTGAGGATGGATCTTCTTCTTGTATTCATCAATGGTTTTTTCTTTGCTTTCCATTTTGAACAATTATTTCACTTTAGTTTTTTACTCATTGATGGTTTCAAATCACACTTGGGATTAACAAAACGTGAGATTGCATTTTATAAAAGTTTTCTATTATTTCAGTCATTATCTTATCGTTATCTCCAACGATAAACTCGAAATGAATGTTTTATTCACATTTTTGTAATTAGATTTAAACTATGTAATCACGCTTAAGTGTACATTAAATACAATTGAAATTATCGCAGTGATAAACATTTCCTTTACAGTTATGTCACATATTTGTTTTATCTAAAAATAATTTTGTAAAATCACTCATAGATAATAATGAAACGATAATAAAAGATTTGCAAATGTAGAGAAACAATTATTTTTGTCCGCAAACGTCAAAAAAGTGACCACTTTTATGACTAAATGTCACAAGTCAAAGTTTATCTTTCAGTCATAGAGTAAAAATTTTGTTTTTGCGCTTAAGCGATTTTACAGGAGAGGTAGGTACATTTGAGTGCAAAAAAAACGCAAACTGTCAAAAACTAAATTATGAAATTTTTCAGGTATTTACATACTGTGTTCCCAAAAAGGTTAGAAAATCGTGACAAAGACAACGTCAAAAAATTGGCACTTATAGAGGCCAAATTACAATATAAAAAAATCAATTTGCGTTTTTTTTTTGCACAACAAGTGTGCATTATAGATTATTATTAACATTTGACATTTTGCACTACTAACTGCACTAGTTAAATTAATAAACATTTTCAAAAATCTCAACACAAATTCCGAAACTGACGCGTGACGTTTGTTATGATTTCATTGTAAAGCGTCCTGATTATTTTGTTCATTTACTTGCTAATTTTAGTGTTGCTCTTTGCTCTCAAACTGAATACGTTTGTGGATAAAATAGTATATGTTATTCGGAGTAAAAGTGAGTTTATGTGGTTCGGTAAAATAAACGTTCAGATTCGCCACATAAACTATAATTTTTACACCTAGTAGCCTAATATACTATTTGTTGGCAAAACTGGTTTTTTGATATTTATGTACAAAAAGACCAAATAAGAAGGTCCTCAAAGTAACAAAAAAATGCTTTGTGTTTCCATTTTTGTTCTTTTACAACGTTTTTGGGTTTTTTTCTCTTTTTTATTTGTTTGTTACTTTAGCTTTTTAAATAACCTTGAGGAAATGTACTAATTTAGTCTTGGTGAATGAAACTCAACGAAATAAAAACTCGTTACATTGTTGAATCGTTTTTAATTTTATTCAAGGATAGTTGTTTTGTTAACAATAATTATTTTAACACTTTATTTAAGATTGTGCAATTGTTATGATAACATAGACAATTACGGTACCTACGCAAGTACTTCATTTTTCAAATAAAATATGTGCTACATCATGTTTACCTAAATCTTTTGATAAAAAACACACAATGCATTTATCTTTAGCTAGATGACTTTTTCTTTAAGAAATTTCCTATAGTTCTAAAAAAAGAAGAAATTATTTTTACCCATCACTGAAACCGCTACTTACCTCATGGGCAATTTTGGTCAAATTTTCCGCCATAGCCCTCCCCGTCTGTGTGACTAGATTGTAAAAAATCCCTTCAGTATTTTGCAACAGTAAATAGGGATGATCCAACACCACAATCCTCCCATTATCCAAAACCAGAATTTTATCCGAATCAATAACAGTAAATAACCGATGGGCAATCGTCAAAACCGTACAATTCTGAAACTTTTTTCTTATCGTTTTCTGAATCAACTCATCGGTTTGCAAATCAACATTCGCTGTGGCTTCATCAAGAATCAAAACTCTGTTTCTGTGAAGTAAAGCTCTCGCCAAACACAAGAGTTGTTTTTCACCCACACTGAAATTCGATCCTTCTTCTGAAACGGCACTTGAAAGCCCGCCAACTAGCTCAGAAATCGTAGATTTCAGCTCAACTTCAGCCAAAGCATTCCACAACTCCTCATCGCTGAATTTCTCAAACGGGTCGAGATTTTTTCGTAACGTTCCAGAAAATAACACAGCTTCTTGAGGGATTATCGAAATCGCTGACCGCAAGTAACTTAGGGGAATTTCACTCGTATCCACCCCATCAATGGTGATTTTCCCTTCAATGGAGGCGAGACGGAACAAAGCCGAGATTAGGGACGATTTCCCGGCACCAGTCCTGCCAACAACACCGATTTTTTCCCTTGAAGCGATTCTACATTTCAAGTTTTTGAGAACCAAGGGCCCATCTGGGGAGTATTTCATTGAGACGTCGTCAAAATCGATGTTTCCCGCCGAGGGCCAGTCTTTGGGTGGGATTTTCTTGCCTTGATCTGGCTCTGGGGGCACTTGAGTGTACTCAAAAATGCGCTCAACTGAAGTCATTTGGTTTTGCAAGTCGCTCCATTGCCGGATCCCCCTTTGCAACATTCCAGTCAAAGCGATCGATTGCGTGATGGCTAAACCAACATTTCCTCCGTATTTTTCTAAATCAAAAACTCATTTATTGAAATTAAACGAAATTTAATCACCTGTTCCGATAAATAGGAAACTTAGAATTACAATTCCAACGTAAATAACGCAGTTTACATCCAACCAAAAAGCAAATGTTCGACTACAAGCAATATACATGTATAGAGCCGAGCTGTGGTGGTTTTGTATGTTATCGAACTCTTCTTCCAACACTTCTTCAGCATCAAAAGCTCGAATTGTTGAAAGGCCTTGCAGCGAAGCCGTCAAGTGTGAGAACATAGGACTTCGGGCTAAAATTTCCTCAGAAATTATTTTTTTTGTCAACTTTTACTTACCAGTCCCTTCGATTCGTTTCAAGTTTCGACTAGTGGCCAAAAAAACGGTTTTGTAACCATAGAACAATCCAAAAATAAAAATTGTTGGTATTATAATCCATATATTTACGGATGATATCACAATAGTTATCGCAACGACGTTTAAAGCAACCTAAAGAAAAAAATTAATAGAAATTTCTGATTTTTTCAAAGTCTTACATGAATGGTGTCTGAAAGACATGAGGGCACATTTTCATCGACAAGACTCGTGTCTCTTGAAAATCGATTCAGGACACGTCCCGAAGGATTCGTGTTGAAAAATCTCATAGTGGCAATCACTATTCTGCCAAACATTTTCTCATGCAGCTTTTGGCACGTTTTCATCGAGAATTTAACAAAACACACCGAATTCACTAAAACCATGAACGTGAGTGAAAGAATTAGAAGCACATACGAGTATAGAAGACTATTGGTTGTAAATTGAGTGTTTGTTTCGTTCAATTCGAGCCGTTTTTGCTCAAGATTTACCCAAAAAGTAAGAAAATAATCAACACAACTTGACGCAACTTGTGTTATAACAAACGTCAAGAGGAGAAAAATTGGGAAAAAATGATTATCTCCCGCAAGAAAATAATGCAAGTAAACTTTTTTCGAAATTGTGCCTAAACTGCGCTCCTCTTTGACCTCCGAGGGTAACTTGGAGGGTTCTGAAACTGCAATTGAGTCATTTTCTTGGACGGAATTGCTCTCGTGTGGAGTTTGCTCGACTTCGTCGAGCAATTTAGCAAAGTCACTGTGCTTTTTAAGCTCGTTGTAGGTGCCATTTAGAGTGACTTGTCCTTTATCAAGTAGATAAATCTTGTCAACTTGACCAAGAAACTGGATTTGGTGTGTTACCAAAACCCGGGTTTTGTCTTTCAAAAAGCCCAAAATACACTGATCGAAGAGTTGTTTCCCCACATGTGTGTCAACAGCCGATAGAGGATCATCTAGTAAATAGATATCAGCATCTTTGTAGATAGCTCTTGCAAGACTTACTCGAGCTTTTTGGCCCCCACTTAACATCACGCCTCTTTCACCTACAATAGTCCTATCACCGTATGGAAACAACTGAAAGTCTTGTTCCAAAGCGCAAACCTTGACCACTTCCTTGTACTTGTCAAGATTCATTTTTTCACCAAATAGTATATTCTGTCTGATACTCGACGAAAAAATCCACGGTTCTTGTGCCGCGTACGAAATTGAACCGTTTATTTCCACCCCTCCTTGAGACAACTCGACTTCGTGAAGAATCGTTTGCAAAATTGTGGTTTTCCCACTCCCCACACGCCCAATTAAGCCCACTAATTGGCCACAAGACACGGAAAATGATACTTTAGTTAAACTATTCTCCTCGTTCCATTTGACACAAGCTTCAGTTAAAATAATCGAATCTGGGCTAAATCCATTTTTGGTTTTTTGGGTTTCTTCAGCAAGGAGAAAGTTTTGGATTCGGCCAAGCGAAACGTTGATTTCAGCCAACAAAGCAATGCAACGGGGAAAATGCAAAGTTAAAGTCTGGCGTAACGTTCCATAGAATGAAGTTACAACGAATACAAACTGTGCTTGGAGTGTGTTACCACTCAAAACATAGGTCAAAACACAGAGAAATATCGACAAGGGGATCAGACACGCATTTACAGAGCGGTAAATCGCACGAAGATAAGAGTTAGCTTTAATTTCGTGTAGCTCCAATCTGAAACAAGATTGTCAATTTTGGGATTAGCCCACTCAAATTAGATAAAAATAGGGCGATCGGTGGAAAAAAATCCTAGAGAGTTGGAATTTTTTTTAAACGCTTTCTTTATTATTGGGTAGACATATATCAAGTCCCCGAAGGTGGGGGGGCGAGCTCGAGGAGGAGGAGGGTGCTAAAGGTGTCTTTTTTTGTTTTTTTTGCTTATATCTCGGAAACTATTACTCCTAACGGTTTTTGCCTGCTTATCAAAATTAAAGCCTACAAAATTTTCTACAAAAATGGTCCTTTGCATTTTTGTTATAGGACTAACCGTAAGCGAGTTATAGGGATGACAAAAAAACATCATTTAAAAAAATGTGCTTTATCCGCATTTAAAACAGAATTAATCTTGTGATTCGAAAAAACTGAAAGCAAATTGAATTATTGGGTGCAACACTTCATTAGAGAGTCTATAAAGTCTTCCGAGTCATCCTTATATGCTGAACTAGCATTTGCCTGCGACTTTGTCCGCGTGTATTTCTGATATAAAATGGGAAAAAGCCCGTTTACAAAACCATTCCATAGGCTTAGGCATTCTATAAAGCTAGATAATTACCTATATTATGTATAGGATTCAGTTAAGTAGTCTCGTTCTTTGCATGGGCTATGTTTATGGATAAATATTAAATGTTGATTTTCATAAAATGTCGTCTCAGTGCACTTCTGCACTCTCAAAATTCGAAATTTCATGTTTCTAATTTTGTTTTTAAGCGTTTAAACTCTATTTTATTTCATTAAAATTTGAAAAGTGCACTTCTACACTCTCTAAGGATCATATTTTCTAAATTTAATGTTTTTATATCCCCTTAAATGTGTACACGTTTTATTCCCTTAAAAACTAATTTTCGAAAAATCTGATTTTAATGCCCCTTTACACCTCTAAAGAATTTTATGTTTATATCTTTGTTTAAACATTTACACCCCATTTAACCCCCTTATAGATTGATTCTTTCTTATCCAAAATTTTTATTTATATCTCGGTTTAAATGTTTACACCCGAGTCACCTTTCAGCCAGACCGCTTAGTTGGGGAACGCTCTACACATATAAATACTTACCATATCCTAATGAAATGTGTTTCAAAGGATTTTTAATGCAATTTTATGCAGACTCCAAACTTTTGAAGCCTACGGTTGGTCCTACAACAAAAATGAATAGGACCATTTTTGTAGGAAATTTTGATGCAGAAATAGACTTCTACAGAAAATTCTGCATAAATTACATAAACGATGAGTTTGTATTTATAGACCCTCGTGACTCCCCCTTCCTTTAATGAAGTATTGGACACAGTAAATTCAATTTACTGTCAGTTTTTTTTTTTTTAAATTACAAGACTAATTCTGTTTTAAATGCAGATAAAGCACATTTTTTTAAATGATGTTTCTTTTCTGCCCTATAACTCGCTTACGGTTAGTTCTACAACAAAAATGCAAAGGACCATTTTTGTAGCAAATTTTGTAAGCTTTGCTAAGAAGATAAAAACCTATAGGAGTGATAATTTCCGAGATATAAGCAAAAAACCAAAAAAAAGACACCTTTAACCCCCTCCCCCTCCTCGAGCTCGCCCCCCACCTTCAGGGACTTTTGATATATGTCTACCCAAGTATAAAGAAAGCGTTTAAAAAAAATCCAACTGTCTAGGATTTTTTTCCACCGATTTGTCTAATTTGACTGGGCTAGATGCAAAAAAACAAAATTTACCTTCGAGCCATTTCAACCAGTTTTGAAAACGGTTTCTCCCAACTGAACATTTTTATTATTTTTATGCCAGAAATGATCTCGTTCATTAACCGGATTCGGTTATCGGTTTTTTGGGCCGTTCTGCGACGATAAAACGCCGTTAATTTACCCATGTAAACTAAAAGTTTTGCAAACTTAATAAAAAAAAAACAATTTTGGAATACACTCACCTTGAATGGGGATAAAAAACATCACGAGTCCAACCCCAACCATCGCAGCTGTGTTCACAGTGGAAAAAAGAAGATACAAAACGATCATTGTTTGAATCGGTGCTAGAAACATTTGATGCATGTGTAGGCAAATATAACCGAAACTGTTGACGTCACTTGACATTAAATTAACCATCTGCCCAACTGTACTTTTCATTAAGGCGTTTTTATTTAGTGTCAAAGCTTTGCGATAAATTAGTGATCGACAGGCGACTTGCATTTTCATGGCGAGGTGTTGCAAGCCCAAAAAACACGAATGTTGAATGAAAATGTTGGAAAAAAGGAGAAATATCAGCGCAGAGGCGTACAAATAAGCCCAATTTTTCGTTATGTGTTCTTGATCGGGGGCATAATATTCGAGAACTTTTCCAACTAGTAGAGGTTGTGCCATCCTAAAATAAAACTACTTGGAGGAAAAAAATAAAAAAAGTTAGTTTCTCACTTGATGACCAGTTCTTGTATTATGAGGAAACAAGCGTAGAAGAGAATTTCGCGATAAAACACCTTGATTATGACTTTTCGCAATGAGGGGGTTTTGTGCTTGTTTTTTTCCTTTTGCCAAACAAGGCCCATTTTGTCGGCTAAGGTTTTGGATTCGTGTGATTTGAGCGGGCCGAAGAGGTCATCCTCGTCGAGGTCTTTTTTCAAGCCTTTGATGAAGGTTGGTAATGCCCAACTGTTTAAAATTTCACAATTGATCTCGAAATTGTTAAAAACTTACCAAAAGAATAGAGAAGAGAAAAAGTTGGCTTTCTCTTTTGGGTGCACTTTCGTGAGTGATTTTAAATTTTTGCGTTCGCTGTCCTCCATTGGATTAAAATTTAATTTCTATTATTGTTGTTAACAAAACGTTACACATGTACACAATTCAGTGTCTGGTTTGATACTGCGGTTCTATCGCTTTGTTGTTGTAAATAAACAGAACAATGAAATAACGAATTTATTTATCTACATATTTGAAATAGAGGTGTGAGTACTTATGTGAAGTACAAAAAATAACGTCATATGATGTCACTATGCGCAATATCCTTGTAAATGTGTGTAAACTATTCATTAAATCGTCTACTGTCCGAAAAATTGAACCATGAATGACGTCAGTAGAAAATTAGTGTTTTTTTGGAACGCTATTTACATTATTTAACGTAAATCTAAGATAAAATACATCTTAATAATGATTATTCACGTTGAAAAATTACAGTCCGGCTATTATTAGAAAATAATTCTCTTGTTTGAATTTACGTTAAAAAGCAAACCACTAAGTATTACCAAGAAATGATGATTTTATGACGTATTAACAACTACAAGAGAGAGAGAAAAGCAAAAAGTTCTTATGTTTTGTTATTATATAAGGATTACAAAAGGAGTTATCAGAGGAAATCATGGGAAATCTGAGGCACTCACAGAAAATCATAAGGAAATCAAAAGAAATCATGCGAAGTCAGAAGAAATTGGGGAAAATTATGAGGAAATTAAGGAAGTCAGAGAAAGTCCAGATAATCACGGGAAAACAAAGAAAATTATACCTAAAGCAATTAGAATATATTAGAGGAAACGAAAGAAATCAGGAGTTATCAGAGAAAAATTATAAAAGTAATCAGGGGAAATCGGAATAAATTATGGGAAATTAGAGAAAGAAATCAGGAGAAATTAAGAAAAATCATGAGGAAATCAGAAAAAAAATTATCAAGAGGCAATCAGGAGATATTTGAGGAAATTATGGGAAAATCAGAAGACACTAGGGAAATAAAGATCATGAAGAAATCAGTAAAAATTAGAAGAAATCATAAAAAAACAAGAGGAAATCACAGAAAATTATGAAGAAATCAGAGGAAAGACAAGAAACCATAGCATAATCAAGAGGAAATCAAAGAAATCAAAGGAAATCATAAAAATTAAGGAGAAATCTTGAGGAAAATAATCATAGAAAATCAAGAAAATCAGGGGAAAGCAAAAAAAATTTGAAGCGATTAGAGGAAATCGAGGGAAACAGAGAAAATAGTAAGGATATTAAAAGGAAATCAGGAGTTATCAAAGGAAATCATAAGAAAATCAGACAAAAACCATAAAGAAATCGTGAGGAAGAATCGAGAAATCAGAGGATCTCTTGAAGGAATGAGGGGAAATTAGGGAAATCATTAGGAAATCAGAGGCAATCATAACGAAATCAGAAGAAATCATGAAGAATATAAGAGAAATCAGAGGAAAACAAGAAAATTATAGGAAATCATAAGGAAATTATGGGGAAATCAGAAGAAAGTAGGGAAATCAGATAAAATCATGAAGAAATCAGTAAAAATTAGAAGATATTATAAAAAACCAAGAGGAAATTACAGAAAATCATGAAGAAATCAGAGGGAAGACAGGAAACCATGACAAAATCAAGAGGAAATCTTAAAAATTAAGGAGAAATTTTGAGGAAATTAAGAGTGATCAGAGAAAATCAAGAAAATCAGAGGAAAGCAAAAAAAAATATGAAGCAATTAGAGGAAATGGGGGGAAACAGAGAAAATAGTAAGGATATCAAAAGGAAATCAGGAGTTATCAGAGGAAACAATGAAAAAATGAAGAAAATCATAAGAAATCAATATCAGAGGAAATTGGAAGAAATTTAAATCATGAAGAAATCAGAAGAAACGAGGAAATTATGGAAAAATCAAGAGGAAATCTTGAAAAAATCTATTTTTTGTATAACTATTTTAGTTATATGATCAACTAGAAAATTACAAATATCTGGAAACTTTTTAAAAACCTTAGTAAAAGAAGAAAAAATAAATTTTGTATGCAGTTTGTGTTTTTATAACCGACTGTAGTTTGTGATACCTCGGTGGTGCTACAGTATTTCTTAAGTTCAATCTTTTCCATAAATGAATGATAATTTTTTAATTATAATAGGATTTTTTATGACAAAGAAACTCTAAATAAAATGCACGTTTTCCAAACACTTTATTCATATAATTGAACAAAACGCTTTGTAAGTACATTCTAATAATAAAGCTATATATTTTATAAATTATTGTCTGACAGAAGAAAAACTTATCTTAATAACTATTTACACACAAAAATACTGTCAACAGTCTATTATTAAAAATAATACTTTTATTTGCACTTATGTTCCAACTTTGAGTTTTGCTAAGTCGTTACTAAAAAACTTGAAGGTGCTGAAATTTTTCGAACTTTTTCAGTTACTCTCTCTTGCGGTTTATTTTCTTCATTTATATCCAAGGCTATGTTAAAAACTCCAACAAAGGCGTTATTTTGCGTCTTATTAGTGTGGATTTTCAAGGGAAGATTTAGCCTTTCTTTAGTTTTATTTGAGAGTGAGAAAAGAAGGTTTTTAATGGGTGGCGAAACCAGATTCCAATCAGTTTCATGAGGATCACTACAACCAACTAGAAACGATGAAACCAAACCGATGAAAACTGTCATCAGAAAACCCAAAGCCGAGTACCAAATGTACGAAATTCGAAAGAGGAAAAAGACTGAACTTGTCGAAATTTTTTCATCTTGTAATAGGCTTGCATTGAAACAAGTACAATTATCAATATTGGTGGGTTTGGATTCTTCAATTAAATCCCCATTAGCGATGGCAACTTGTTGTCCAACACACATCACAGTAATTAAACACACAGCAATTACACTCCCGAAAATTGCTCCCTACAAAATTCCATTACTCAAATATCAAATTTTCAAATAAAATTTACTTTTGAGTTTGCCCAGGGGAAAAACATTCCAAGGGAGAATAACCCAAGAGTCACACCTCCAACCATCCCATTGAAACTTATCGCAACTTGCATAATACTCCCCAGTTGTGCCACCACAAACACCAAAATAAAACTTATTGCGCCATACATGATGGAGATTGATTTGGCCCAAAATGCCCCTTTGGTTTCATGCAGAACGATTTTAAATGCCCCACAGACAAAATCTTGGATTGTGACTGCAGCCAAGCTGTTGAGGGCCGATGCGACTGTGCTATAAAATATTTTAGAAAAAAAAATAACTTCAAATTGTGCCTAAAATACCCTAAACTAGCTGCAAAAATTCCAGCAACAAAAAAGCCAGCAACGCCTTTAAAATGCCCCATTTCCGACATCACATAAAGGGGTAAAATCTGATCAGTTGCGGTAATTTCACCGGATTTAATCGGGTCGCAGTGTTGGTAATGGGCCACCATGATCATTCCAGTGTAGAAATTTATGACGTAAATTAAAATAAGTCCAAAACATGAAGTCCATAAAGCCCTAATAAAGATTTTTTATCGGTGTTAAAAAAGTCTACTTTACTTACGTTTTAACTTGACTGATATTTTCTACAGATAAATATTTTTGAATTGAGGCTTGATTCGAACAAAACATTGTCATCCAATAGAAAGTCCCGCCAATCACCACCGACCAAAAACTATGACGGATGGTGGGGTCCGGATTCAAACTAAAATTTAATTTAATAAAAAAAGTGAATTATAAGGAAATAAAAGATATCAGAGTTAATAATTAGGAAATCATGTAAAATTAGGGAAGTTATGAAGATAATAAAAGTTATGGAGATAATAATGAGGAAATCATGAGAAACTTGAAGGAAATCATAAGAAATCATGAGAAAATCTGAACAGATTACATGAAATCATGAGAAATTAGAGTTAACAATGAGGAAATCATGGGAAACTATCAAATGCATGAGGAAATCAAGGGAAATCATGAGACTATTAGGAAAATTAGGGGAAAATATAGGAAAATTATGAGGAAATCAGGCAAGATAGGGGAAATCATCGAGAAAATCAAGAGAAATTATGTGGAGATCAGGAAATCATGACGAAAGCAGGGGAAATTATAAAGAAATCAGAAAACGAGGAAATTAGGAAAAATCATAAGGAAATTAGAGGAATCAGTGGGAGTTATGAGGGAAATAGGAGTCAACAGGAAATCGGGGTAAATTAAGGAAATCATAAAAATCATTAGAAACTTACAGGAAATCAGGAAAAATCATGAATCATGAAGAAATCAAAAGTAACAATGAAGAAATCTCGGGATTAAATTATCGATATTATGAGGAATTTCAGAGGATATCATAAAAAAATAGAAGCAAATTATGAGAAAATTAGGGAAAGAAAAGAAAGAAATCAGGGGAAATCATGAGAAAATCTGAAGAAATTATGAGAAAATGACAAGAGATCAGAGGAAATAATGAAAAAATCACAGGAAATCATAAGGCACTCAGGGGAAATCATCAGAAAATCAGGAGGTATTAGGAGATTATAAGAAAGTCCAAGGAGATCAGAGGAAATCATAAAGAAATTCGAGGATCATAAGGCAATCAAAGGAAATCAGGGGAAATTAGGGAAATCAAGAGAAATCATGAGATTAGGAGAAATCAGAGCAAATTATGAGGAAATTAGGGAAAAATAGTGAAATCATGAGCAAATCAGAGGCAATCATGACGAAGACCCTAGAAATCATAGGAAATCATGAGGGAATTAGTGAAAATTAGGGAAATTATGAGAAAATCAGAGACAATCATGATGAAATCATGAGGCAATCAGTGGAAATTATGAGAAAATTAGGAGGAGTCAAGAAGAAATTGGGTAAATTAAGGAAATCATAAGAAACTTACAGGAAATCAGGAGAAATCTTGATAAAATCATCAAGAAATCAAAAGTAACGATGAAGAAATCAGGGGAATAAATTATCGAAATTATGAGGAAATCAGAAGAAAGCAGAGGAAATCATGAAAAAATCAAGAGAAATCAAGAGATAATCATGAAAGCATCAGAAAAAATCAAAGCAAATTATGAGAAATCAAAGCAAATTATGAGGAAATTGGGTGGAAATAGTAAAATCATGAGGAAATCAGAGACAATCATGACAAAGACCCTAAAGATCATAGGAAATCATGAAAGAATTAGGGAAAATTAGGGAAATTATAAGAAAATCAGAGACAATCATGATGAAATCAGAGGAAATCGTAAGGAAATCGTGAGGAAGTCTCTAGAAATCAGAGGATCTCTTAAAGGAATTAGGGGAAATCATTAGGAAACCAGAGGCAATCATAACGAAACTAGAAGAAATCATGAGGAATATAAGAGAAATCAGAGGAAAACAAGGAAATTAGAGGAAATCATAAGGAAATTAGAGAAAATTATGAGAAAATCAGAAAAAATTAGAAGGGAATCATGAAGTAATCAGAGGAAATCAGAAGGGATCAGCAGGATTACAGGAAAATCAGAGGTAATCATAAGGAAATCAGGGAAAATTATTATAAAAATCAAAAGGAAATCAGTGAGAATCAAAGGAAATTATGAGGAAATTAGAGTAAATAAGCACTGGCTAGGATTTAAACCAAAGTTTAATTTAATAAAAAAGAAGAAAAAACCCACTTGAAAATTTCTAATCGTCCCGTGTTGTAATTATGCGACCAGATTGCGCCAGTTCCCCCAACGAATTTTTCCCCTAAATACACAATAAGTAGAATTGAACCGATTAAAACACCAGCTTGGAACGTATCAGCGATAATAACAGCTTTCATTCCTCCCTAAAACAACAATTTTTGATGTAATATTCATCAAAATTTTGACTCACCTGAGACGCGTAGAAAATACAAACGATGTAAACCACACTCACCGCCACGTATACATTTAAACCAGTCACTGAAACGCAAATTAATAACAAAATTAACTAATAAATAATAAAGCACAATACCATGACTGAGTGCCAAAGCTGGGGCATAGACCGCAACACTCATATACAAAACCATTTGCAAAATATAAAGCCCACTCGCAAAATACCTCACCGAAGAGTTGAATCGTAGAGACAAATACTCATAACTGCTTGTTAAACGCAATTCCATGAACAAGGGTAGGTAAAAACGGGCAGTTAGAGGTACCACGAGGAGGAAAGCGCAGCAAATCATCAAGAATTGGGTTCCGTAGTTGTACATTTCTGCTGGGTTTCCCAACAATTCGATTGCTGTGATAAAACTAAACAGAAATTTTGGGATTGAAAATTTGAGAGTTTTTACCTCGCTGCGAGTGACATGGCCATGGGGAAGGTCCCCATTGAGCTTCCGCCCAAGAGGAAGTCGTCACTGGAGGCGTGCTTTTCGCCAATGAAGCCGTAAAAAACGCCGATGCCACAGGAGACCAGCAACATCGCTCCAAGAACCAAGTAGTCGGGCCAGGAAAATGTGTTTTTGGTTTTTTCGTTGTCTTCACATTGTTTATCGTATTTTGTCTCGTTTTTTTTGCCTTCACCCAACTGTGATATCACCAACACAAGGAATATTGCTAGTTTTAATCTTGAGTAGAGACTACCGTTGAACTTCATTTTATATTCGTAATAAATTACAATAAATATTCTTCTCTTAATAAATTAACGTTAAGACCTAGAAACACATTAATTCAATTCTTGTCCTATTATCCCAAATTTAAATATGTGAAAATGAAAATAAAGAAACATTTGTAACGTTCCTATGAACAGGATGAATTTACATTGATAGAAAAAGTTTTAAATGACTTTGAACAATTAAATTATTTTTCTAAAAAAAATTGCTAAATGTGTTAAGTTCTCTTTGATTTCTAAAGTGTAATAAAAAATCTTATTTTTTTTAACTATATTTTGCAAAAAAAATCAGAGGTAATAATTAGTAAATCATTAAATACGAAAATCATAAAGGAATCAGAGATATTAATGAGGAAATCATGAAGAAAACAGAAGTAATAATGAGAAAATCAGAGAAAATTAGGGAAATCAGGAGAACTCATAAGAAAATCGGGACAGATAAGATGAAATCATGGAAAATTATAGAATACATGTGGAAATCAGGCAAAATCAGAGGAAATTCATGAGATCATCAGGAGGTGTCAAGTAAATCATGAGGAAATTAGGGAAAATTGAAAAATTATGAGGAAATCAGAAGAAATCATGGAGAAAATAAAGAGAAATTATGGGAAGATCAGGAGACATCAGAGCAAATTATGAGGAAATTAAAGGAAAATAGGGAAACCATGGCGAAATCAGAGGAAATCATGAAGAAATTAGAGAAATTTATTAGAAAATTATAAGAAATAGTGAAGAAATCAGGGGAAATTACGAGGGATCAGGAAGAAATCAGGGGAAATTAAGGAAATCATAAGAAACTTACAGAAAATCAAAAGAAATCATGAAAAAATGAGAACAGATCAGAGGAAATTATGAAAAAATCAAAAGTAAGAATAGTAAAGTAAAAATAGAAAAAGTAAAATAGAAAAATTCTGAGGAAATCATGATAAATTATGGGGAAATCAGAGGAAAACATGAGAAAATCGGAGGAAATCATGGAAAAAATCAAGAGAAATCATGGGAAGATCAAATGAAATCAGAGCAAATTATGGAGAAATTAAAAGAAAATAGGGAATCCATGACGAAATTAAAGGAAATCATAAAGAAATCAGAGAAAATTATGA